AGGTAGTTGGGGGCGTGCGTGCCTAGTCTTGGGTTATGGTGGATCGGTTGAGGTAGGGTTGTGGTTGAGGGTAGAAGCTGAGTATTGGGTTGCGTGGCTTACTTTTGATACAGTCAGCATGGTAGTCAATGTACAGGTCCTTCTCTCCATTGTCTAGACGGTTTTTGAGTTCAATGCGGAGTGCACGGGAGCGGGCACGTTGCTGTATGGTTAGGTCAGGGCGGCAACGGAGGTTCTTATGTTCTCAACAAACCAATTGTTCAGCGGACCCAGAACTGTCTTTGTGGTTCTGTTCAATAAACCATCTTTCCAATCAGTCTCCATGTTGTTTCCAGCATTTTTCTCCCAGCTTGGAACTGAATCAGATGGATATTTCTTCCAACAGTGTCACAACTTAAAATGTATCCTTTAGTTTTTGAATCATGTCACATGTAAGTATGTAAAAGTGGAATTTGTTAGGGCATTGCAAAGTGCTTTACATCTTTTGAAAACATACATTATGCTAAGCTATAACGTAGCTTGTTTCATCTTTATTTTCTATAATGTATAAACATAATCAGTTGTGTTTTGTATGGTAAAGCAATCCATAGCTAAATGCAATCTTTGAAACAATAATATTGCTCTTTCTCATGCATATTCTTATTCTCCTCAATCTTTTCTTTACTTTGAGCAAACACAGTTACCACAATTTTTAATGGTCTGCTTTTGTCTTAAGCATCTTAAAATTATGGTTTATGCATAACTGTGGTATAAATCAACTATTATGACATTCAAGAAACTGAGGTAGTTAAAAATTTAGCATCCCAATATTTTGAGCTATTGATATGTTCAGACTTTTAAGAAACAACCTCATAAAATGCTGTAAGAGTGAGCACAGCCAATGCCCTTTACCAGAATACAAAACTGGGCACATTATTTTCTCTCTAGGCTGGTGATCAATTCAGCATTATTTTTATTTATTTTTTATTTATTTATTTGTTGAGCATGTATTAGATAACAGATATAAGTATAAACATGATTAATGATAATACATCAAATGGATAAGAATAAAAGGGGACATTAGGACAGGGATGGTAGGCAGGTTGGTGCACTTATGCGCGCTCCTTAAAGACCTCTTAGGAATGGGGTGAGGTCAACAGTAGATAGTCTAAGGTTAAAGTTTTGGGGGGTTTGGGAAGAAACCACAGGTAGAGTATTACAAGCATTGACCACTCTGTTGCTAAAGTCATGTTTCCTGCAATTAAGTTTGGTGCTTGATTAGGACACTTGTTTTGTGGATGCAGTATAGTGGTGAATAGATTTCCAAGAAGAGTTCAAAGTGTTCCCGTTGGCTTATAAAAACTACAATATTTGGGAGCATCTTCTCCAAGGAGAATCTGTCTACTTTATATAGGCAACTCAGCTAGGAAGTTCCTTCCCCTTCTGAGGTGAAATGGATAGAGCACTTCACCTCACAACTTTTTGGTAGCAGCTCATCAGTATCTGGATAGCGCCTACTTGGGGGTATATTCTGGGAAAGTGAAGACAGTTCAACAAGGCTCTTGAAGGCTCTTTTACATTAAGGCTCCTGGTTATTTTGTTTCCTTCTGGTTTTTATTTGATTATTTTTAATCATCATATTTCTGCATTTTAATTATGAACCGCTTGGAGTATTGTAAACTAACAACATACAAAGACACAAGTACATGAATAAAAAGCTTGTATTTCATTTAATTGTATTTCATTTCTAATCTTTGACATACCAATTTTCATTTGGAAAGGTAATAATTACAGATAAATAATATTAATGTTAACTGAATGCTGCCCAATTAAGTCTCTTCCAAAAAACTTAAGATCTGAAATTAATCCATAGGGCAAATTGATAATCTCTTCAATCTCTATGAATTTTAAAATGAAGGCAGTTCAAAAACTTCATTGAAGTACTGTATTTTATCTTGTTTTAACTGCCTTTGAAGTTCTGCTAAAAGATAAACTACAAATCTTTATATCAAAATAAGAAATTATTTTTAAAAAGCTATATTTTTCCTAATGAAAAAACAAGGTTACACACAAAGAACAGATTCAGTAATATCCGAAACAAATCAACTAAGTATAAAATCAGGGCCTCAATTAAAAGCCAAATTAAAAAATACATATAAATATTGCCATTTCTTAAAATAACTCTATAAGTCATGTATCAGTCTTTTAAATGCCGTTATTTTCTTAAACATAAAGATTTTTTAAAAACTTTAAAAGGCCAATAAGGCAAAATATATGTCCTTGGGCATCTAAATTTTTGAGAAAAAAAAGACAAAAACAAAAACAGGCTATATCATGAGCTGGTGAGGGAGGCTTCTATTCTTTATTTTAGTGGGGCTGCAGGGGCTTTCTTTGGGGCAGAGTGCCAATTTGGATCTGATAGAAAAGGGGAATTGGGTTGGACCCTAATCATGAACAAAAGACAGGAAGAAAAAATGGTGCAGCAATCTCCATTTTACATCAGTTGAGACTTTCAAGAAGAGATTGGACTGCCATTTGTCAGAAATGGTGTAGGGTCTCCCGCTTGGGCGGGGGGGTTGGACTGGATGACCTACAAGGTCCCTTCCAGCTCTGATTATCTGTATCTGTATCTACTTGTTAGATTTATTTTCTTCACACAAACTAATGCAATAGGTATAACAAGCAGTCTTAAAACAAATAGTAAAGACATCAAATGTGTAAAAACTTCTGTCGTTTAGGATCAACCCACCAACAATAAATAAACAATAGTTTGCAGACTAGCATTTGGTAGAGCATGTGTAAAGGCCTTGGAAAAAATATGCAGAAATTCTGATGTATTTATATCTATAAAGATCAGAATAGTGTAAGCACATGATACTTCATGTGATTTTGACTTTGAAGCAGAAGATTAGGATGAATATTGATACCGTGTTTCTCACAAAATAAGGCCGGCCCCCTTTTTTTTTGACCCCCAAAAAAACGGCTAGGCTGTCTTTTCGGGGGTGATTTAATTCCCCCCCTTGCATCCTCGGGCGGGCAGCGACAGCTTGGATGTTGACCTCGGCGTTGGTGGGGCACTTCGTATCGGGAGACCTTCCACCACTGTTGCTTTCCCTTCTCCCCATGCTGCCGCAGCGTTTAGAGCAACGCCACAGCGTTTGGCGCAGCCACACATGGCCAGCCAGGGCTCCTCCCTGCAACCAGAGCCTGGCGGAGACACTCGGCTTCAGGCGCTCCTGTCGCCGCCTTCCCTTGCCTTCGAAGGCAAAGCCAATTCTTTTAAAAACGACGCCCTACTACCGGTACGACAAAGCCTCCTCTGCCCGAGAGGGCAGCCCAACCCCACGTGGGGAGGCGAATCTCCTGGGACCACAGCGCAGGATCAGCCCACCCCAAGGCAGAGCGTGAAGAGCTTTGCCTGGGGCGCCCAGAGCAGCTGACAGGCGGGCCCTCCTGCCTGGTGGTGGAGCTCTCGCCAAGGCAGCAAGCGCCTCCCCACCAGTCCTTCCGCTCATCCCACCAGGGCTGTGCCAGAGCCGTGTAGGCTGGGCAGAGCCGGGAAAGCGAGCTGTGGGTGCGTGCCCACCTGCCAAGCGAAAGAGCCGGGCCGACCAGAGCTTGGCTACCTTCCCAAGTCCCTCCAGCCCAAACCTGAAGGGGCCACCGGGAGAGGCTGCCCGAGGCAGTGATAGCGCCCACCCATCTGTGGACAGGGAGGCGAGGCGACGGCCTGTGCCGCATCCTCCTCCGAGCTGAGCCCCACCGAGTGAGCACCTCTGCCCGATGCTCGTGCCGCTGCAGCGTTTGGAGCTGCCAGCGCATTTGGAGATGTGTGGGGATAGGGATGGGCTGGGCGAGGGGTGGAAAGGACGGGCGGCTTTGGGCTCTATCTGCCGGACCTGCCGGCCAGGGAAGCAGCGCTGCTGTCGCCTCGCCTCCCTATCCGCAGATGGGTGGGCGCTATCATTGCCTCGGGCAGCCTCTCCCAGTGGCCCCTTTGGGTTCGGGCTGGAGGGACTTGGGAAGGAAGCCAAGCTCAGGTCGGCCCAGCTCGTTCGAAAAATAGAAGCTTCAGTCCTAAGGAAGGTTCAGCTCTGCTTTTAGATTAGCTAGAAAGCAAGAAATCCAATGATTTCCTGCTTTCTAGCTAATCTAAATCTCCCAGCACAGCAGAACAGCTGATGGTCGGGGGGGGGGAGGAAAAATAGTAACTTAATAAAGGCAGGCAAGTTTGATGGCATGCATGCCAGGTAAGGAGTGGGGAGGGGGAGGGGAGGGGCTAGCCAGTGGCGCGATTTGCCGGTTCTCCGAACTGCGCAGAATTGTAACAACCGGTTCTGTAGAATTGATCCGAACTGGTAGAATCCCACCCTTGTGCCTAAGGCCCTGAATGCTCTTGAGGATATGATACTAGGCTGTTGGATCACTTATCTGATTGTGAGGCCTGTGCAATGGTCCTAAAGAAAGATGAAAAGGCCCTTTGGAGCATGCAAGAGTGTGATTGCAGCAGGTCTTAAAACCATCTGCATCTTTTCCAGATTGCTAGCAGCTGCAGTGGACCTACATATGATCCTATAGGAAGGCCTGTCTATTTTAAACAATTACAGATACAAGTTATGTTTGTGCCCCCCAGGATCCAAACTACCCTTTTGCATTCAAATACTGTATGAAACCTGATTATAATGCAATTCAGATAGTTATATTCCAAATGATAACATCTTAATGCTTTGCTGAATATAATAAAAATGAAGTGTTTAGTGTTTAGTTCCTCCTATTCTTCATGAGTGCTTCTTCATGAGACCTTCACAAGATCTAGAAAAACAAAACAAAGGCAAAATTAGTAGACTCTGGTCTAAATAATTGTTAACTGAGAACACCAAATACTCCTAAGATATTTATGCTGCATTAAATTTTGCCATTCTAAAACATGAGCATGTTGCGTTTCTCTGAATTACACTTCAACAATATTTGAGGAACACTTCAACAATATTTGGATCCATGTCCCCATCCTCTTACTTTTGCTGCTGGTTGCATTTAAGTCTTCATAGAGACCAACAAAGCATTCTTACTGCCAACTGTAGTAACAGCATCCGAACAGCTACCAAAGAAACAAAAATGCAAAAATTACTTCCCTGTTTCCTTCATGAGAAAATATGTAAAGTAGAATAGAAGGAACCAGCCCAGTACACTAGGAATTATATAGGTCCTTTTGTTTTAATATCATTCTGCCACAATATTATTATTTAAAAAGAACAAACTCATATAGTATAGGTACTATATTAATATCACAAAGTAATGAAAATAGGACTTCTGTCTTTCTGAAATGTTGACAAATGTTTGGCTCAAGAAGCTTAATCCAAAATTTTAAAAATGCTTTAGTTTTAAAACAAAAAATATGATGGGGCATATTATGAATTGCACGTTGGTTAAAGGGACCAGAGTAGAAGCCATGAAATGGTGAGTTATAATCCTGCCTTCGATATGTACCAAACTGAGGGATTTTTGGCCTGTGATTCTGCCAGACCTAGGAAGAAAGCCACGACAAACTACTTCTGAAAAATGTTGCTAAGAAAACTGCATGAATTTGTCCATGGAATTGTCAGGAGTCAAGACTGTTTTGCACATACATACATGCCTATTTTACTTGCTGCGGGATTAACTATTTTCACTTATGTTTTCTTTAAGTAGGCTTTTCAGCATAGTTTGGGGGGAAAATCACTACACATGTAAATAAGAAATAATTAGATTGCCTGGAACAAAAATATTCTGGCTCAGAACCAAACTGCTTTCAGACCAGGTCAAGGAGTTTTGAGCCAAAAGCTGATTTTCTCTCTTGATTTAAGAGATTTCTATCTCCTTGGACTGTGCAGCAGCACTTTGGATTGTTGTGTACAGTTACTGCTGCTCTTTAACATTGTCACAACTTTTCATTAGATCAAATGGCTCCCCTCAGTCCCTTTTTGAAGTTGAATCCAAAGCACGTTAGAATTCTAATATCTCCCCTGCAACCCCGGAGGAATGTCCCTTACAATACTTCTGAATCTGCCTTTGGTCTTAGTCTAAGGATAGACTGTTTTTTTTTTTTTTTTTTTTTTTTTTGGGGGGGGGGGGGGGGAATGGACAATCCTCAACTGAAAAGCAGTTGTTTCTGTTGAACTGTCAGCTATTTTCTCATTTTTTATTACAATAAATGAACAACCAAAAATAATACAATTCAGCACAAAATAGAAATCAAGATTTAGGTAGGGAAAAACATATGTATTAGAAAACAAACACGAAAACAAATGTATTAGAAATGCTACATCATTCCGAGTGGGGCAGAACTGAATTTTTTTTGGGGGGGGGGGATGACAATAGAATTTATCCCAGTTTAACATCATAATAAAGAATTGTCTTTTAATCAGAAAGAAGACATTATTAAGAGATGTACCTGTATGATACTGTAGAATGTTGAAGTTTTTGTTTATCTGACAAGACAAGAAAAATATATTACCATTTTATATTAGAAATTAAAGATATGTACAAATAAACATTCTTCTGTTTAGCAACAGCTCCTCCACGTTTTCTGGATTGTATTCTCTCAATTTGTTCTTTCTAATCCAACCCTTTATCACATTCAGGCAATGTTCACAAGTACCAATAGGTTCTTGGAATTGGATGATAAATAGATTCCCCATCTATTCTTATGTTATGAGGGGCCAGGAAAGAATCTACTGTTACACAAACACTTGTACAGCTTTGGATCATTCACTCACACACAGCTTTCCTGTCAAGCCATGCAGATCTCACAGCAGCCCTTGCTTCCTACCTGCGTTTTCCTGATAAATACAGCTAAAGCATACAAACAGGTGGGAAATAAGTAGGAACATATTAAATCACTTTCGTATGAGCATTGACCTACATAGGTTTCCTAATCCAAAGTTACAGTAAAATTTTATTGATTTCAATGTACATTTGTTTTCTCACACGCTCACATGCTCATCCCCACTTGCCCACATCCTTCTCAACTGACCTAGACTGTGCAGGCACTAGCTAAGGGAATGGAAGCTGCCAGGTCCAGATCCAGAGTGACTTAAAGGTTGGGTGGGTTTCAGGTTTTCAAAAGAAAGCCCAGCACATTATATGCAAAATGTTGATGGAATTATAGTGTAAAAAAAATATCACTGGAACAGATGGATGCACAAACACCCACCTAGTCAATTCCCTAATGAAGGAAGTTTTGATAAGGATACCATTTATTCAGAGGATAAGTATCATGTTTAAGAAGGCATGCCATCTATGTCCCATCAAATGATACAATTTTAAAGATGGGACTGGAGTGTAGGCACAGTGTCAAATATTACTTGATGGTCAGAGACAATGGGCAATGAAACAATGATCATCCATGGTCAAAATGGATGATCCCTCAGTTAATCAGGCCCTATGCTGTAAAGCGGAGGTCCCCAACCTTCTTTGTACCGTGAACTGGTTTCCGGGAAAACAATATTTCCATGCACTGGTGGTGGTGGTGGCAGGAGCGAGAGGGGGAAATGGTTTCATGCACTACCTCGATCCCACACGTGCACAGATGAAACTCACTTGCATGGCCTAATTCCCAACAGGCCATGCACCAGTACCAGTCCATGGCTCGGGGGTTGAGGACCACTGCTATAAAGCATTTTATGGGTCACAACCGATATCTTGAATTGCACCTAGAAGCTTACTGGTGATCAGCAGAAGTATTACATGGGCATAATAATACACAATAATAATACACAATAGATACAAACTCAAGGTTAACTGCACCAAACTTGACTGCAGGAAATATGACTTCAGCAACAGAGTGGTCGATGTTTGGAATACTCAGCCTGACTCTGTAGTTTTTTCCCCAAACCCCAAAAACTTTAACCTTAGACTGTCTACTATTGACCTCACCCCTTTCTTAAGAGGTCTGTAGGGGGCGTGCATAAGCGCACCAATCGTGTCTACCATCCCTGTCCTATTGTTTCTTTTTATTTTTCTTATAAGTATCTATCACATGTATTCAAAACTATGTTTATTCTTATACCTGTATCTTGTAAGCGATTGACAAATCAAATCAAATCAAATCAAATCAATACTAAGATATATCCGTAATTGCCTGCATCACTGGCTTTTGGATCAGCTGCAGCTTTCAAGTGGTAGAGCAGCCGAACCTACAGTATATTGCAAAAGTGTATATGAAAGGCATCAAACAGCACTGTACTAGTCTTGCAATTTTCACAGAGGTTCAGAGCTCTCTTTGATGACTCTGTCAAGAGATCAACTGTGATTGGATGCCTAAGAGACCATGGACGCAGAGAAAGTTAATGAAGTAAATAGCTGAATGAAATATTCTGTATCTTGCTTTCTATTTTGTCCCCAAGACACTCTGAACAAAATGTGGATATCAACGATCACTCTATTTGAGGACACGCAGTCAGTCACTGAAACCAATATTCCTCCTCCTTTCCCTTCAACCAAAATATTTACAAGAGCAAGCACCAATTTTTCAAAATTCTGTTTTAGTGTACAGCAGTGCTCTCAAATACATATCGGAGGCGGGTTTTCATGAAAGATTTTGAAACAGAAACAGAGCATATTAGAATTTTCCATTCTACTCTTAACTGCTTTGATACCATAAATAATAGGAAAGAAGAAACATAAAACAAATACTAAGATGAGTATCTATAGAGTCAAGGAAGCAATTAGAAAAACAAGGGTGTTGTCAGTAATTTCAATATGAATTTAATTAGCTAAAATGAAATTAGCAATCAAATATGATCTACTAATGTGAATGATTCTGCTACATTAATCACTACTACATACCTGTTACCTTTTTGCAGTGATGGCCATTGAACGTTATGCAGACCACGCTGACAAGGATTATTACAATTACCACCAGAATGACAATGAAAATGATGATACCTAAGTGGGAGTGGAAAACATTCATAATAACTTTTCTATTGTATATCATTAAATATTAATAATGTCAATGATTACCATAAATGCTTCCCCACAAAGGGAACATAACCAAAGGTGACCTTCTCAACAATTCTGCCCTAACAATCATTGTTATGATTGCTCAAAAGACAGGGGGTGGGGGGGATTTCAGTTTTAATAAGCTTATCTTCTGAGTTTTCATACTTAAAACTAAGCAATAATAGAGATGGGTACAGAACTTAACAGTGTGAGCTAAATGAGACTGGAGATCTATGTTGAGGTCTGTAGGAGGCATGCATAAGCGCACCAACGTGCCTACCGTCCCTGTCCTATTGTTTCTTTTATTTTTTTTATTTGTACCCATTTCATGTATTCATAACTATGTATATACTTATACCTATTATCTTGTAAGCGATTGACAAATAAAATAAATAAATAAAATAAATAAATGAATTCTAATTTGTCCCAGGAATCAATGTTAAGGTTTTATTGCCTTAGAAATCTATACCTCATGAGATCTAATGGTTTAATAGAAACCTCCTCACATGGTGAAAGTTTACAAGGAAGAATCAAATAAATCAAATCAATGTCAATAATATTAAACTATTTCCATTCATATTTCTAAGCAAAATGAAACTTATGCCACCATGTCTACTTACTTAATGCTGCCACTGTTAATGCTGCTGGTTTTTCTTCTGTAGGATAAGAGGTAGTAGGAAAGTCTGGTTTTTCATTTTGGAAATCTTTTGTGACAATCATTAGTTTAGATATACCTGTGGATTCTTGGAAAAAGAGGATGCAGTTGAATAAAAGGAGTAAACAAATATCTCTTTGCTGATATGTGAAACAAAGATAAAGTAAATCCTTCCATTATTTGGACAGATCTGAAGTTAAACCATTGTCCGTGGAGGTGCAACTTTGGGGAATAAGTGGGTTGGGCTACTAGAACTCTCACTCTTCAACTGGAACTGAATACGCATGGAATGATTCCCTTTTAGTCCCACCATTCAGCAGGAATACCTAACCAAGGCAGAAAACCTTAACTGAAGAATTTGAACCTTGTTCAATTATGTTAAACTCGGACTCCTGACTTGTTGCTTTCCTAGTCAGCCAGAAACAAATTCTAAGACTTATTTTTGGCTTTAAAAGATTGGCTTTTTAGAAGAGCAAAAAGTCATGAATCCTGTTCAAAAATAATACATTACACAAGCAAAGTATAGACCAACAATGCTACTTTGTCCTAGTAAATAAATATATCAAGGAATAGTGCTTTATTCTGACACACACCAGATCAAAATGATTAATTAGTTAAAAAAATATTGTATGATTGTGCTGCAGCAGTCTCATTCTCTTCTTCCTATGCCCAAGATGCTAGAGATGAAATGTACAGTATAATTAATTAATTGATACTAGCAACATGGGACAAAAAAAGAGCCTAAGAGAAAATCAGTAATTACATTTTTATACCAGTGTTGTCTGTCACACACAAATACACTCACAGAGACAATATATTGTAAAGTAATTTAGAGACAAACTAACGTCAATTAAGAAATTAAATAATTAAGTAAATTTTTGGACTCCTCACCAAGATGGCTGCTGAATGGTAAAGAAATATTTCTATCCTATCAATGATCTGCTGATTTTGCTGCCTACGCTGGCTCTCTGGCAGTGCTGCTCCCTAGATGTGAATGGGAACACTTAGGAATGACCCAAGACAACTTTTGGGAAGGGAAGTTTTGAAGTTCCCTTTGGGAGTTGTTAAAAAGTCATGGGCATCCATCTTGCTGTAGGCATTTCGGGGTTTTTTTTTAAAGTGTGCCTGGGTCTTAATTTCACTTTTAAAATTTCCTTTGCTTTTTGTCTTTAAAAGTACAGAAGACTGGCTGAACACTGATTTGTTTCAACCCCCTGTTGAAGTTTAGCTGTTCTCTTTCTTTTTCCTTTGATTTATGCTGTTGTTCTAAATAACTTTCACTTTAACAAAGAGTGCTTTTCAATGGTGAAGTGCTTCCATTCGAATTATATTAATAATGGACTCTCAGCACAAGGTTTTTGTTATTTTTTTTAATTTGCATAATACTTAGGGTTTTTTTTCTTTTAATCTTGGATTGAAATATCCAGAAAAGACTTTTCCTGCTTTCTTCTGCTTCAGCTTCTTTATTCTATTGTTAAACTTCACAAAGCATCAATATACTACATTACAGACAAGCAATAGCTAAAATCTAAGAAAATATATTTTGGCAACATGCACCATTTAATTGAAAGCTTTTTAAAAAATGTTTGATGAGATAATAATGCTCATAGAAAATATGTGCAGGCTTTAGAGGAATCTGATTTGAAAGCTGCAGATCAAAGAGATATTGACTACACAGACAGAGAACTAATTGAGTTGATTTCATACATCTCTGTGAACTTTAAATCTGCATTTGTTCATTCAACAGAAGCCTGACATGGAGAAGTGACAACTGGGTTTTCTTGGGAGGACTGGGGAATATTGGAGAATGGATTTATTACTCTTAATTGCCAAACACTTTTATCTGGACATTGCTGGGAAGATAGACCAATTGTGGAGATTGAATATATTATATTTAACTAGACAACAATAGATAAGAAATGGTATCAAGAAACAAACGTTGATATTTGATCCAGGATTAATTATTCTTCACTTTTGGGATGGTTTGAGATAGAGAAGATGCCATGGTAAATTTTCTAGAAAGTGGTCACAGTAACACTTTGTTAACAGTGGGTTTGGAAACCCTAATCTTGTTCTATTTTGTCATTAATATAGCATATAGATGACAGTTCAATAATTTGCAAGTGGATTTACTAGTTTAATAAATGGGAGAGGGGACTTCTTTCACAAGGGGTGGAAACTAATATTGTAGCAATGCATAAATCAGTATTCAACCCAGGGGATAATACGTCTATGTATGTTGCGGGTTTTCTTTTTTAATGCACCTTTTTAATGTCTTGTATGCTTTGTATCTTGGTTTTTTTTTTAATTTAAATTTTATTTTAGTATTTTAAGTTTTCTTTGAATAAATAAAAATAGTTAAAAAATAATTAAGTTTGTTTTCCCTCTTTCTCCCCTGAAAGTAGAGTACTTTTCCAGTTGGATGGTGACTGTTAAAACACCATTTTATGTAGTTTTCAAAAGGCTTTTGGATTAGTCTTTTCGATGAAGCAGGCTTAAACAACTTTTGCTTTGCAAAATAGGAAGATGTTCAGTCATCAGTTCACTAATAATCACTGATGTAATATACAATAACAGTAATAACATGCTGCTTGCATAAAGATTATATAAAATTATTTTAATTGTATGCATGTTAATTAATAAGTTGCAGGCTGTCTAAAGGCAGGGGAAAGCAGTTTTTAAATATATAAATTAATGTTGATTTCCTGTTTTGGATTATTGTTTATTGCTGCCTTCTTTTGCTCCACTTTTACATATTTAGGTGTCTCATGAGGTACCAATGCCTTATATATTCCACAAAGAAAAACTGGGGAAAATAGTGTGGGAAACAAACAGTCCTGGAACAGGACTGAAGGCATCTTACTAACAGTTTTTTTTTAGTTACTTTGATAATAATTTAAATAACTTAATACACTTTTCTCTCATAAACAAAGCTAGAATCTTTTAAATCCATATTGGAAAACACTGATTACTGTGGAATAAATCAACACTGTGACAGAATTTGCTTGGGACTTAGTATAATAGGCTTTGCAAATAAAAAGGAAGATACGAAGATTAATGTTTTATTTCATGGAGAAAAAATTACATTTCAAATTAATTTTTATCCATCCAGTTATGAGACTTTGTTTAGTTTTCACATAATTCTAAATTGAAAAGAAAATGGTGTTGTATAACAAATAGGAGCAGCTGTCCTCTACCTGCCAAGGTGGGAAGAAAGAGACTGCTATTCTCCTTAGGCTCAGGACCTACAAGCAAAATGAAAAACAAGGACGTTCTTAGAAGATATTTGAAGGAAAGTTCTGGTTTTCATAACTATGTACTTAAAGAAAAACTCATTTTCTCCCTCATAAATCTTGAAATAGCCTATTTCAACAATGCCCACTTATTCCCATTCATTAGCTGCTAGTACTTCAATTTCAATTTCATCATGAGGCATGATCTGTACTTCACTTCTGGCCCTTTCAACAAATATTTCCAATGATCTTGAAAAAAAAACACTTCATGCAATGTGGTATACCCAAGTTCCTTACAAATCTCCTCCCTCAGATTTCCATAAACAGTGTGGATTGTCACACCAATATTGATACCTCTTTCGCATATGGTTTGCTCAATTTCTGATTTTGCCCACATGTTTTAAATTGTTGTCCCTTTTATCTTTCACTCTAGCTGATTTTCCATTTCCTTTTTGTCTAATTTGCCTTTTCTGTTGCATTCGTGTCCTCAGGAATAGCATACGTCTTCGGTCTGACTTAAGCATGGTATATAAAATCATACATTGCAATGTCCTACCTGTCAATGAATACTTCAGCTTCAACCATAACAACACAAGAGCACACAATAGATACAAACCCAAAGCAAACCGCACCAAACTTGATTGCAAGAAATACGACTTCAGCAACAGAGTGGTCAACGTCTGGAATACTCTACCCGACTCTGTAGTCTCTTCCCCAAACCCCAAAAACTTTAACCTTAGACTGTCTACTATTGACCTCACCCCCTTCCTAAAAGGTCTGTAGGGGGCGTGCATAAGCGCACCAACGTGCCTACCGTCCCTGTCCTATTGTTTCTCTTATTCTTTTATTTTTCTTATATGTACCCATTTCATGTATTCACAACTATGTATACGCTTATACTTATTATCTTGTAAACAATTGGCAAATCAAATAAATAAATAAATAAATACCCCTGGAAAGATACACGGGTTCCATCCTGATTGTTTTCCCAAAGTCTTTTAGGACCTGTCTTTGGTACCAGAGCTGGGACTAGGGTGATTGTTGAACTCCTCTGAAGTTTTTGCATATTGGGGAGTGTTGTTTTGATTTTTAATATGCTTTTAATATATGTGTATGACATATTGCACATTGCTCAGAGTATTCTTGGTATTGGGGGGCCTAAACAAATCCAATAAATAAACATGCTACATATGGGTCTTGTTTAATATTATTTTTGGTATGGTGCTTTTGAAAATAAAATTTATTGTTTTAATTTATTAAAACAACTTTATTTTGCAGTGAAAGGAAATTTGTCACTGAACTCTGATTCATTTAACATAATTGTTATTTATGATTTCTTTGCTGGGAACATGAGGCAAGTCACAGTTTCCCTGATTTTGAGAATAAGTCCATTAGTGTCCAAACGACAAAAAGCTGATACTTCAGGAGTGCATTAAAGGAAGGATAGAAGCAGGGTCAGTTCAGGATACAAAAGAGGTTTGCTGATCAACTCCCTTAAGAATAGTCTTATAAGAATAATTACTCTAGAGGATGGAGAATGATTTAAGAGATACTATACTTAATTTATGTTTTCTGAAATATATGTATCATTTCTTCTTCTTTACTTTTTGTCCACTAAATCTATATCTCAGGTGAAACCATCAATATTAAGGCTAGAAAGAGAGAAATCAGAAACAGCAATAGTAACAGTTCTAGGCTGAACACTTGGTCTTCCAATCTTTCTGGCTTTGTAATATCTTGCTGAGTCTTGGTACATAATAAGGAAGTGTTTCAAAGTTATTGTCTCAACTATCTAGGAAAGACATGGTACATATAAAGTCATATTTGCACCAGCCTAAGAAAAAGTATTTGTGGATATCTCCCTATGAATTATAATTTGTCTGAGATTTAGGCATCAGATATGCATATAAGGTCCATTTTTGTTCTATCTGTAAGCCATCATTTGTTAAACAATTATGTTATTCATTTATAAATGTTATACATTAATTTAATTAATTAATTAAACAATTATGTTATATGAAATATTATTACTGGTGATACATTTCCCCCTATCCCTCTCCAGTCTACTTATCTGTAATGAGCCAATCTGTAAGGTCAAGATTCAGAATCTATTTGTAAAACAATTTGAATAGCAAGAGATTTCCAACAACTAACAACTCTTTTGACCGTCATTCATGAATATAGAGAAACTGTTTTAGCTTGTATCTTGAAAATTTATGAAACTGATTTAAGTTGAAAAAGAACATAATTGCATCTAGCTCAGCAGCATCAACAATTCTCCAGTGACTCACGCAAAAAGAAGCCTTATCTAAACATGTTAGATTAGACATTTTTTAATTGTATCTGTCACAGAAAAAATAATTATGCAAGCTAACTACCTATTCTATTGCTGAATGTTGATCTTCTAACTGAATGCAGTGAAGCTGCAATTGTCATCTTGATTATTAAAGAACTTCATGAGGCTTACTATTGAATAGACATATGATTGGTCAATACAGTACCTTACCTTGGAGAAGAACAAAGTGACATATCCACAAAAATATTAACATTTTTAAAGCTATCATGTTTTCTTCCACTTGCCAGTTCTTAGTTCCTTACTGTTCTATTCATTCTGGGATCAGGGAAAAAATGGGGTGAACTTTGACTGTGTGAGTAGATTGTCCCAGGGTTTCCTGTTAAATAATAGAAGGAAGCAGCCTCAATCAACAAGCGGATTGACGCTGTGGAATTTTTCTCGCCTGTTATAGTTTTGAAGGATATGAGACAGAATTAATCAGTAAAAAATAAATTTAATCACAATTGTTGTAACTCTACATACTTTCAGAGTACCTATTTTCTGAGGATGATATTACATGCATTTAAAAAATCAGACTTGAGGATTGGATTTGAAAATGAAAATTTCCCCATTCTGGTCCAAGAAAAAGGCTGTGAAAAGATAGGTTTAACTACTTCACAAAAAGATAGGTTTAACTACAAGAAAATGTTTATCTCATTTTTAGGTAGTTAGCTAGCTACCATCAATTCAGGCCAGAGACCCAGATGGACAAATGTCTGTAATCTGCCTCCAGCAATACTCCATAATGCCTGCAAAGATATTCCAATAATATCCAATTCATTCACCTTATCTATTTCTTCCCTTGCTATTTTCTTCTTCTGGCCAAGAGAGTCAGCTAACCTACATCTGCTCTCATCCCATGCTCAAAATAATCCCCAAACTCAATTCTTAGGGTAGCTTCTTGGTCCTTGTAAAGTTTCCTCAGAATACTCAGGTGTTCTGGCACACTTATGGATTTTAATATATTTCCCTTTACTTCTTGTCATTATTGGTTAAAATATGTCCTTGTCCTTTGTAGTTTGACTCTGAATGTGGTTGGCCTCTGATGCCAAAGGCCTTCATTCTCCCTGTGAGAGTTTGCATTGAAAACTACTAGTTTCTTTCCCTTTTTGAAATTTTGAGAAATTTTATTTTGCTTTGATTACCACTTTCCATTCCTTTCACATTTTTCTTTGTCTCTCCCATAACTCCTCAAGTTCTCTACTGTATACACATTTAGGCATACCAAATCTGTTCATTATAATGATCTTATATACTAACTATGTATTCCAGGACAACTTCTTCTAGCAAGCCTCTTAAGTTTAATTTTCTAAGTTTACTATATACAGTATTTAACATCAGTAATTAATAATCTGTCTTGCAACCTAAGCCTGAAAGTCTTGGATCTTCTGCTTCTTATTATAATAGTTGATTTTATTCTGATGTTATCCATCAACTGATGTTACACATAAAGTTTGCATTTATGTTGCTTGAGGGAGACGTTGACAAAGAACAAATGTCTTTAAATTATGTCTTAACCTAAAACCTATATTTGCATTTACTAATCCAAATATTCTTGTAATTGTAGGTTTGGCCATTTCTCCAAATGTTGCATTTTTTATTTATTTATACATCACATGTTTACCCTGCCCATCTCACCTAAATGAAACTAGGCAGTTTATAAATTATTTACATTTTATCATTTACATATATTTACATACATTTTATTGTTTACAAAACATTTATATTTCATGGTTTATCATACATTTACATTTGGTATAGCATTTTGTCATAAGATTATTTAATTTCTTCCAACATTGTATCTAAACTGGGAGCATATAATTATTGAAATGGGATGTGGGAATGACCAGTAGTGGGGGTGGGGAAAATGCCAAGGGGATCAGATAAGGGGGGAAATAGCCCAGAGCAGGGGGTCGCCAACCTTTTGGACCTCAGGGACCACCAAACTCATAATTTAAAATCCCGCGGACCACTAATATGAATTTTGAGTAATGCTGATTTGCTGACATTGGTGGGAGAGAGAGAGAGAGATCCAATCTAACCTCGGAGGGCTGGCGGTGATTCTCTCTCTCTCTCTCTCTCTCACACACACACACACAGGTCCCTAACACACACACACACACACACACCCTCCAAGGCAGCCACATTCCTAACCTGCTTTTCAGCTCCATTCTTGGGGGGGAGGGGAGAGAGAGACTTTTGGCTTCATGCAAGAAAAGCAGCAGAAGTCTTTCTTTCTCTCCTCCAAACTCCACCAGAATGGCACAGCCTCTTGGAGCAGGATGCTTTGCAGGGTCTAATTTCTGGTGGAGTTTGGGGGAGAAAAAGAAAGACTTTTGCTGCTTTCCTTGCGTGCAGCCAAAAGCAGAAGAAAGAAGCGTAAAGAAGCAGCCTGGTGGCCAGGCAAGGTGCATGGGGTGAGTGGGGCAAGCCCTTTCCCCCTTCCCCTCACTACCTCGTGTTATTCACAATGCAAGTGATGCAAGCCTTGTGTTCCCGCTGGCCATGCGAGCAGTGCAGCCTTGTGTTCCCGCGCAGCCTGGATTAATTGCTTTGGCGGGTGCTTTGAGGGTGACATTTCTCTGTGGACCACCAAAATTTTCTCGCGGACCACCAGTGGTCCCCGGCCCACCGGTTGGTGACCACTGGCCCAGAGGACACAGTCCATGACTGCATATCAGGCAAAGAAACTCAGAAGAGAACTTCCCTAACATTTTACACTGTAAAAAAGGCAGTGGGAGATTGTAAGATTCTGTTAATGTAGCCTTTCAATAAAGTAGAATTACTTCATCTGGTCGTGATTCCTGTCTGATCTACCTGGGAAGGATGATAATTATATATCACTGATTATTCAATTATATAGTCCATTCCAATTCTTCGTAACCAACCAGACATCACTTTGCTGTGATTGCCCGCCAATAATCGCTACTCTGAGTTTTTGCAAGTTCACATTTCTGTCCTTAAGAAAGTATCTAACCACTTCATCTTTTATGGTTTCTTTTTCTATCACTTTTGATTTTTCTAAGCTGTAGAATCTTCTAACTCTTCCCCTCAAAATAAGTGTCCAAATATTTAAGTTTCACTGTGCCTTCAGCAAGTAATATAATTTTAATTCCTCTAATAGTGACATTTGTCCTTTCAATGCTTGTATTCTCAACAGATTGTTTTTTTTATTAATAAAGTTTTTATTTTTTAAGACAAACATATACAAATAATACATAAAAACATAAAAACATCTTCCATTTTATATACATACAGTGTGTCAGTTGGTTGAGAATCTTTTGTGCAATCCTTTCATAGTCATTGCTCACAGTTTATATCAATCTCACATTGTCAAACTAACATATGCTTATATATTTATCAATTGTTAATCATCCATGACTAAACTATTTATTCCATCATTTTATACAAGATATCCCAAATTTTATTTTAAAATTTATATTATGCTTTCATCCAATGGGTTATATATGTCTACATTATATTTTATATCAATCTATTAAACTTCTATAACAAAATTATCTATTCTATTACATTACCATGTCTTTTTATCCAACCATTGATAAAACAAATCCCATATTATATAAAATTGTTTATCTTCTTGTTCTCTAATTTCAAATGTCAATTTACTCATTTCAGCACAGTGCATAATTTTCTGAATAACTTCCTCCTGCATAGATATTTTATCATTTTTCCAATTCTTCACAAATACAATTCTAGCCACTGTTAAAACATTTACAATCAAATATTTCCGCTCTTTGTTGTATGTTTCCAGTATGATTCCCAATAAAAAGATCTCTGGTTTAAAGTCTATATGTTGTTTTATCATTTTTTCCAACCACGTGTGGATTTTAGTCCAATATTTTTTTTCATTCGAACATGTCCACCACATGTGGTAATATGAACCAATTATCTGATGACATTTCCAACATTTATCCGATTTATTCTTAAACATTCTCACAAGTCTTGTCGGGGGTAGATGCCACCTGTAAAACATCTTATACAAATTTTCTTTATATGCAGTTGACATTGTCATTTTATAGTTTTTCTCAATAGATTGTTCTAGCACCATAATTTCCAAGATATTTTCTTCAACCATCTTTTCTGATGGTTGAGCTTTCAAAGGCATGTAACCTATGCCATTCTGAACAAAAGGTTGTCCAATCTTTTCTTGAAAACCTCCAATGAGGGAGCACCACAGCTTTTGGAGGCAAGCTGTTAATTGTTCTCACTGTCAGAAAAAGTTTCCTTAATTCTAGGTTGGATCTCTCCTTGATAAATTTTCCTTCCTTTGCTTCTTCTCCTGCCCTCAGGTACTTTGAAGCAGCAGTTCCCAACTTTTCTGGCTCCAAGGACCACCAGCAGCAGCGTTGGTGGCACAGAAGTGGGGGAGGGGATGGTTTAGTGTGTGCAACCCAGCACCCATGCATGTACAAATGAAGTTTTGCATGCTCATCCATCATTTGCACAGGCTGCGTCCCAACAGGCCATGGAAACATACCAGTCTGGAGCCTGGGATTGGGGACCCCTGCTTTGAAGAATAGGTTGACCCTCTTTTCTCTGTGACAGCCCATTAAATATTGGAAGACTGCTATCCTGTCATCCCTAGTCTTTCTCTTCATTAGACTAGACATACCCAGTCCTGCAGCCATTCATCATATGTTTTAGTTTCCAGTTCCTTAATCAACTTTGTTGTTCCTCTCTACACTTTTTCTAGAGTCCCAACGTCTTTTTTGTATCGTAGTGACCAAAATTAGATGCAATATTCCAAATGTGGTTTACCAAAGAGGAACAAAGTGTTACTAACACATCACATGACCTTGATACTATCCCTCTGCTGATGCAGCTCAGGACTTCTTTGGCTGTTTAGGCAGCTGCAGCACACTGCTGCCTCATATTAATGTGGTTCTCCAGTAGGGCATCTAGATCCCTTTCACAGTTACTGCTGTTCAGATACTGCCTATTCTATTCCTATGCATTTGGGATTATTTTGCCTAAATGTAAGATTTTATTTTTCTCACTACTGAATTTCATTTTGTTGGATAGAACCCAGTGTACAAGTCTGTCAAGATCCTTCTGTATCTTGAATCTATCTTCTAAAATGTTGAATATTCTCTTCATCTTGGTGTCATATGCAAATTTGATGAGTTCTTCTTCTGTCCCCTGATCTAGCTCATTTATAAAGATGTTGAATATTATTGGGTCTAAGACAGAACCTTGAGGAATCCCACTGCATGCTTCTCTCCATGTAGATGGAGTTCCATTAAGGACTACATGTTTAATGTGATTGGTCAGCCAGTTACAAATCCATC